TTTTTTTTCAGAACCAGGGATTAAACTTAGGCCCTTGCGCTTTCCAGGGAAGTACATATTCTACTGAGCCATCTGCCTGGCCCCTATAGTTTCTGTTTTGATAATAATTTTTCTTCTTTAGTTTCTTAATATGGCAGACTATTTTGGTGTAATTTTGAATATTGAGTCAGATTTATATACCTGTACTAACCCCAAATTCATAATAGTGTATAAAATTATTTTCTGTGCATAGCTGGAGTTGATTTTCTAGTATTTTATTCAAAATGTTTTTTTTTTTTCTTTTTTGCCTAAATTCAAGAGGGACTTCGAACTGTGGTTGTCTTTTTTTGTACTATGTTTTTATAACTTATACTAGCCTTTTAAATGTTGCCGGAAAAAAAGGTGTGTAGGATTGTTGTGCTTTCTTTTTTAAGTATTTGGTCACATTCTCCAGTGCAGCATAAGCCTAGAAACTTCTTTTACAGGAGCTTTGTTTTTGTCAACTTAATTTCTTTTAATTTTATTGGATGGTTCAGCTTAGCTCATTCATTTTGGTAAGTCTTAAGAGTTTGCAGTGTTCAGGGAGTTCAAGTTTTTAAGTTGTGAAATTGATGAGCATCAAGTTGTTCTTAATAGTTTCTTATTATTCTTCAAATGAATGCCAGATTTATAATGATAGTTTGTCTCATTCCTTATTTTTTTATTATTTTGTCAATATTTCTAGGAGTTTGTCAATTTCATTATTCTATAGAAATAACTTTTTATTTTACTGATATTCACTATTTTGTTTTCCCATTTTTCATTTCCTTGACTTGTGCTCTAGTTTTTATCTTTCAGTGCTTGGTTTGTGGTTTATTTTTCTCAATTGTCTAGTGAAGTAGGTTGGATTTTGGTTTTGAAACTTTCCGTCTTTTCTGAACATTTAAGTTAGAAATTTCCCTCATTGCTTGCTTTTCCTTCTGACACTATCTGATGGGAATAGAGACCACCACCTGAAGAACTACCATGGATCACCTCTGAAACATTGGAAGAGGATATGATAAACAGCATTGGTGTTTTGTTTCGTTTTGTATTTAGTACAGGGTCTACAGTGTCTCACTATGTAGGTTGAACTCGTAGTGATTCTCTTGTCTTCTGCCTCCCAAGCACTGGAATTATAGGCATGTGCCACCATGCACAGTTTCATTCATCATCTCACGTGCCCTGGAGATAGACTGGGAATCAAATCGCAGCCATTGGGTCTGCCTAAACAAGAACTTCTTCATTGATATTTGGTTCGAGTACAAGGGGCTAAATTATCAGAAAAACTTTTGGTTGTTAAGTAAGTTTTCTTCAGTCCTTCAGTAAGGAAGAATAGAATAGGCTTTTCTTGTAGCTTGCCTAGATTGAAGACTTCCATAGTACCTCACAGAAAATGTATGGGGAGCAATGGAGAATCCCAGGGAAGCCACACACCTACTGTTCCCCAACCTGAGATCCCCCAGACAGTCCCTCTTTTTGTCCATTCTGTTGTGTCCAGATTTTTTTTTACTTGTAAAAAGTGCAGCATCAAAAGAATAGACCTATTGTTTCATGAGAAAACTAGAAATCTGCATAGTGGCTTTTTTTAGTTATTACTAAGGAAAGGAGAATGGAAGGAAGAGAGGGAGGGAGAAATTCCATTAACTTTGTCTTATGAAAAATTAAAATTTCATAACCAAGCAATAAGAGAATAAGAATAGTTAATATACTGTATATCATAATATTCAATGCAGTTTCTCACAGGATAAGACATAAACCTAGAAGACTCCTGCAAAAAATAAAGTGATAACAATTTAATACTTTCTTTTCAACTAAGATAATCTAATAGGATGAACAAAACAAATTAGTATAAATATTGAAATATTTTTTAAAACAAAAAAAGTATCCAGTTTGGGAAAATACATTATAATTTCTTCCTACTTCATGTTTATCCTTCTATTTTGAGTTCGTGTGTCTGTGCAGGCAAGCAGTGTTTATGAAAGATAAATATTGTGACATGTGGGCTGGGCTTTAATGTGTGACTTATCTCAAATGTCAAATTGCATCAGTTTATCACTGAGTGGGTCAAGTTGATTGTCTGTTAATGTTTCCGGCTCTGTGTTGAAGTGGATTGGTCATATGGGCCATCTTTGTCTTGTTCCTGATTTTTAGAGGAGAAGTCAGCTGTGGGATCCTGGGCTTCTGCCAGCTCATGCTGCTCCTTCTGTCTGCTATTAGACCACATGATGTGTGAGACTAACATTTCCCCATGGGGGAGCTGTGGCGATTGCACTGGGACACGGCCGATGCCAATCTATCTGGAAGGTGGACATCCAAGACACAGACTTCAGGATAATTCACAGGATTACAGGGAATTAACCTCTGTTTGGTGGAATTTGCTCACCATGTCTGCCTGCAAGCCTGGCTCTTCTGTGTTGTGATCCACACATGTTCCAGAAAGCAAGCGCACATTGAGGCTGCCTCTACCAACCTGCAGCACAGTCCTGCTCTCACAGGTTCTGCCCACAATTCTGTGTGTAAATTGCTGTGAAGGCCCTGTGCTCTCCTATCTTATTTGGAGAGGGGGGTTCTGAGGACCACTGGCTGTCTCCAGGAGAGATAATTGTCAGGGCCTGCTCAGTCTCCTTACACAGGAGAGAGTAGACAATGAGACTGCTTAGGGTAGTGACAGACTCCCTGAACTCTACCTCCTCCTCAAGAAATGCCAGAGGTAGTTTTCCTAGAAACATGACATCCTCAACTGTCAAGAGAGCCCATGAAATCCCAGATGAGGAGGGAAGGGCAAACAGTGGAAAGGGTGAAAGAGTGGAGCCTTTGTGGGTCTAAAGATGTTTATGGCCTTGAGAAACTTGAGTGGGAGGCCCCACCTGTGCCTCACCCTAAACCTTGTGATGTGTATCTCAAGAGCCTGCAGGTTGCATGGTTTTGAGATGCAAAACTTCTGGATGGGACAAACATTGGTTTCCTGAGCCCTGCGGTATGGTGACTTTCTGGTTTCCATGTGGCTGTCAGAGGCAGAAAGGCACCATTGGTAGTGAGCCAGGATGGGAGCACTCTCAGGGGAATCAACCCCATGTGGATCTGCCCTGACTTCACTCCCAAATGCTCTGTGAGCATGACGTCGGTGTGTTTCTTCTCCATGCTTTCTGGTGAGTCATTTCGGCTCTATCTCTGTGGACCTTGTCAGGTTTCTCTTGGCTTCTCCAAGATCACCCCCTGAACTGTTCTTGGGGAGCTTCCTAAGGCCCTGGAGACATCTTTTGGGGCCTTGCCTGGAATATGCCCAAGACTCTTGCCCAAGTCCTCCCTCAACTGGAACCTCACCTTCTGTAAATCCCTGCTACCCTCAGCTATAAACAGGGATGAAGGAGAGGTTCCAGGCTTGTATTTGCTGCCTTTAGCAATAGACACCGATGAGAGGACCAAAGCTTGTCCTTGCTACCTTCAGCTGTACACACGGGTAAAGGAGAGGGCCCAGGATTGTCTTTGCTGCCTTCAGCTCTAGAGAGGGATGAAGAAGAGGGCTGAGGCTTATCCTTCCTGACTTCAGCTGTATACATAGATGAAGGTGAGGGCCGAGGCTTGCCCTTGGCTTGACAAGAAAGAGCCAAGGCACACCAAGGCCGTGTGAGTTCTGCAGTCTCCTGAATCCTGCAGAGCAGGACCCACTGGTGTTCAGTGATCCACTTTTGGATGTGCTGCTCCAATATTTCTGTGAGCTCAGGGCTGCCTCTGAAAACTGTGAGCAAGTGCGGCAGTAGCACAGTTGTCCTGGAGAAGGCTGGGAGTGGACTGGCTGTCAGGCTTCCTGAGACCTTTGGATTCCTGAGGGGACAGCCCCTGCCCACTCCAGTTGCTTCTTGCACAAGGGTTTTCCTGGGGCTTGTATTTCAGTTTGGGTGGGAGACTGTGGGTTATTGTTAGGTAGAACCAGCTGCTCCACAGCCTCTTTTGTGAGACAAAGTGGTGACAGGATTTGGGAAGGGAGTAGGGGTGTGTCCTAGTCTAGGCATAACCAAGATTTGGGGACTTGTATTGGGGTGGAGATCTGGGTCCCAGACAGGATGGGCACTGAGCCTGGGAACCCTGCAAAACATTTTATCCTGCATGCAAGCTATGCAAATATTTGACATTTTGTTAAATAAGAAGGTGGGAAGGTGTGGAACAGGACAGTCCTGGGACCTCCAGGCAGCAGCAAAGAAGGATTCGCTTTGCAGGGAGGGCAGACCCCAGAAAAACTGACTGCATTTCTCCCAAAAGCGATCCCCAAGGTCTTAAAATATGACAGCTGTTGAGGATGAAGCAGCTGATCTGTCCTCTCTTTGGTGTCCCATGAGTGTTGTGCGACTGTGGCAGGATCAGGGGGGATGTGGGTGGAGGAGAGGAAGTGCAAGTGTCTGGGATGAATGTCTTTCCAGGGCAAGCAGGTGCTCTGGATGCTGAGAGGCAGGGAGGGAGGTAGATGAGCCCTCAGGGTCTGAGCAGGGTGCGACCAGCCTGGTGATGGAGAGGAGGCCAGAGTTAGAAGGTGCTGAGTGAGAGGAGTGGTGGCAGCGTTTACTGGGGACAGAGCTGGAACATCCACATGCTCCTTGGATGGCATCAGGGCTGTGATGGGTGGACTTGTGTGCACAGCAGCAGGGAGATCTTGATCAGGGAGCATCGTTGGGAGGCTGCAATGAATAGAGGCTTAGTTGCAGCCAGAGCATGGTCTGTGGGTGGGCAAGGCTGGAACCTGTTCCCAGGGCTCTTGCACTGCCCTTTATCAAGGCTTCCCTGTTCTCTTTCTATCCACCCTTTGCCCCAGGGCCTTAGCATCCCCCTGTCTCACGGGTACAGGATTTCCCCATATAGAAGCTGCTCAATGACCCTGGCGTCACACTACTGGAAGGAGGTTGGAGAGAAAGGAGTTCTTTACCTTTGTGCCACAGGAGTCAGGTTCTGGGTCTCTTTCAGGTGTTTCTAGAAGTCTACAAGTGGGCATTAGGAGCCTGGTTACAAGAGCTAAGGGCAGCAAAGGGATTGCAAATTTGAAAGATGCTAAAGTGAATGTCCCCTTAGGAGAGAGCTGTGACATTGCACTCTGAGGCCCAAATATCAGTGTCAAGTTCCTATGGCCCAGCATTCACTGGCTGCATGGTATCCACATGGGCAATGCTCCATCAGTAGAAAGTGCCTCCATAGCCTTCACCCACAGTAATCCTTCTAGAATTGTGCTGTGGGGGTAAGGACGGGGTTGCTTTAGAAAGGAATCAGCCACTGCCAAAGGAAACAGCTGGGCTTCACCTGGTTGCCCACCTCCAACTTCTTGCTATCTTGTGCTACTGCTGGCTGCACTGTCCCCTACTGGTGATAAGTTCCAATGGCGCAGCATAGCTTCCTTCTGAGCAGGGAACCCGAGGAGCACTCATCTGCCTCCTGCCTTGCCACTAGAAGCCTTCTCAGGACTCTCGAGCTGACATTCCCCCAGAGACAGGCAAAATCACCTTAGTTCTGGGATTAGAGCACTGAAAGGCAGAGCCTTACCTCTGAAAGTGCCAGTCCTCTTCCTACTCCTGCTTGTCCACTTCATCTGCACTGGATGCTGAGACAAGGAAAATAGTGAGAGGCCATGGCCCAATTCTCCTCTCTCTCCCTGACAGAATGCAGAAACTCAGAACTCATGAGTATTATGGCACTCATCAATGAATTATGAAGCCTGTTTTTTTCTTTCTTCTTATTCATTTTAATAATAATGGTTTTTCAGTCCTTTCAGAAACACACAGGAGCTTTCTAAAATGAGATCCCCATAAGGGGTCTTGAATTCTCTGCTCAAAAACCAATTTCAATTCAATAGCTGCATCTGAGCTTTCAGAGGCCAGGGGCATCTGCAGGCTAAGGTGTGGTTGAACTCCCTCTGTTGCTGCAGAACAGTGAGAAAAACACTCCTATGTGACAGAGAATGTGAACCACCAATGCTTTATTTAGCCAGCAGATGATACCCCAATGTCAGATCTGGGAATACTGACCCTGGGAGGACTTTGTATTGACGTTATGTACCTTTGTAAGTAACCGTGGTAATCACACTACTTCATTTTGCAATTTTAGAAGAACGCCACACAATTGTTACAAGGTTTACATTTCCGAGAAGTTTACATTTCCAGTCAGGTGGACATGTAGTTTAACATTTAACGTACCACTCAATTTGATTCACCAATTTGTTCCTTTGTTTTCTTTCTTTATGGGCTATTGTTAGCTAGAGGATAGGGGCTAGAGGAGCCAGCTCATCTGTTTAAGCGACTTTAAAAATGGTGTTAAGAATAACAAAATGGAATCTCTCCTGCCCTATCATCTCAGTCCTCAGCTCAGCTCTAACATCAGCCCAGCACACAGGAAAAGCTGGGCCCAGAAGCACCTGCCGGGAGATGTGGACAGGAGCCAGGGCTCAGGGTCTGGCCTTCTTCCCAGCTCCTTCCACCTCTGGAACCCAGGCCTTGTCCACTGAGTCATCATGTTCTTGTTCACACTGATACCTCGAGCAAACCACCCTGAGGTCTGAGAGCATCACAAAGACATAATGGTGCTTACTTTCCCTGCCTTCCATGCCTGCCCCAGAGGAAGGATGTTTTCTTCTTCTTGGAGTTCTTCACTTTCAGCATGTCTCCCCAATGTAGAAGAGTGGCAAACTGGGAGAAATTGCTGTCTGCTAGGTCTGAGCTGTGGGTTTCTTACCTTTCTGATGTTTCTCCTCTTCCTGGATGCTGGTAGGGATGGTTCACACTGGAGCCAGGGAAGTAATTCAAGGAAAAGCCCCAGTCCACAAGCAAAGGCAAGGATCATATCCATCACAAAGGTTGTGGATGTGGAGCTCAGCCATGCAGCAGTATGACTTTTCAGAGTAAAGAGAAGATTCTACATTTTCTGAATCTCAGCATTGCTCTCAGGGAACTGATTCCTGAGTGTTCTATCTGGCAATAAGTAGAGGTTCCAGGCCTGCATCACAGAGCTGTGGCCTCCTCATCACAAAGGGTTCTTGGGGGTGGGGGAGGAGTAAGAAGAAGTGGCTCAGCCATTGCCCTCCCCTCCCCCTCTCCCCAGTACAGTGAATATGTGCCGTTCTAGGACTTCAGGATCCCTCCTTCTTCCTCCACCTGCTCAACCTATCAGAAACAGAGTATAGTCTATTTTCTCTTTTTCTCTCCTGAAACACAGATACAACCACGAAATTTTATGCAGTTCAGGTCTGGCTCATGCCAAAACTTCAGTGACAGTTTTATAAATGTTTAGCATTTATAATTCTTAAAATAGACAAAGTGATCTTAAGGACTAACATATGCATATCCACACACATACCCTCATATGCTTTCATAAACTAATCTATTATTTTTCAGAAAACAGTTTTTTTTTTTTTCTGGCAGAAACAGGGACTGAACTCAGGCCCTTGCACTTGCCAGGGAACTGCTTATTCCACTGAGCTATCTCCCCTGTCCCACAATACGATATTTTCACTTTCATCATATTTGCATTAGTATCATGAAATGTCCAAACAAAAGCACAATGAGTTACCGTATCACCTTACCTAAAATGGTTATAATTATTTATTTAAAAAATACAAGGAATAAACATGCATAGTGGTGTTCATGCCTGCAATCCCAGAACTCAGAAAACTCAGGAGGGAGATTGCTATGACTTAAACATCAGCCTGGGCTACATAAGCAAGTTCAACTTCATGGTGAGGCCCTGTCTCAAAGAAGGAAAGAATGAAAGAAAGGAGAGAGATGGAGAGGGGGGGAGGGGAAGAAGTAGGGCAAAAGGGGGGAGAAAGGAGGCAGGGGAGGGAGGAAGAGAGAGAGAGAGAGAGAGAGAGAGAGAGAGAGAGAGAGAGAGAGAGAGAGTCACTATGGTAACAGCTCTCAGAGCTGTGCATATTTTTTGTGGGGCCCTTCCAAACTCAGAACCAACAGTGGTTTGTCATGGATACCTGAGGCACAGACAGCTTCACTCATGAATTTCTACCTTTTGATCTAAAATCCTACTTTTGGGTATATAGCCAAAGGAGATATAGTCAGCACATTATCCACAATAGCTAAAGTATTAGGTCTACTTGGTACCAGTCCATTGAGGAATAGAAAAAATGAAGGATTTATTCACTATTCTGCCATAAAAATTGAGCCATGTTGTTTGCAGCAAGAATGGGTCTGGGCGTTATTATGTTACATCAAAGAAGGAAAATGTCAAAAGACAAATACTAAGTATTGTCTTTCATAGAGAAGTTTAAGCTGGGAATATAGTTTAGCTGCACATCACCTTCCTGGCAGGAGCAAGGTCCTGAGTTTGATTTGATGTAGTAAAAATATGCTCTCTTATAGAAGTTTAAGAAAAATGAACTTGAATGTAGGAGAGTGATAATTATAGGTTGAGAAGGGAGAAGGTCATGAAATGAAAGTGAATGTGATCAGTGAGTGTTGTATATCAGTACATGTACTAAAATGACACCCTGAATTCTGTTAATATGTACAATTAATATTTTTAATAAAAATGACTTGGATTAAAAAAGAGACAAGAAAAAAATTTAATCTTTCTTGAAAGCAAGAGGTAATACTGAAACATATGTTCTATCTTGTATATCTGTTAATCTCACCAATAGATTTGACAATAAAAATAGATAATATATCAACCATTGTTAATCAGTTATTCTTGTTTTAAAAATCTGTACCATATGTATTGTTTTATGTTCCCCTGGTTCTGTTTTTGAAAACTAAATACATAAATTGCCAGTAAACCAAAGAATAGTACTGATGTTTTCATTATGTCTACTATTAAAAATGGAGCACAGCTCAATAGCAAAGAAGGCTCTCATAGGGTATGTACAGCAAAAGTTTCCAAGGTGACCTTGTCCATGGTCTCTTAGGCTCTGATCAGTAGCAGGAGATGTGCATAGTATGGCTGTGAGCATCTGGCCAGCTGGAGGAGCTGTAGAGACCTAAGAGGAATGGAGCTTACAGGGGAAACCCAGCCTGCATCTTGGAACAGCTTGAAGTTGCAGGTATAGCCCCCGGGTTGAGAAACATTTATGCAATAAGAACAGACAACAACAATACATACACAGACTTCAGAAACTCGAGCTCTGTTCTCAGCAGACCCTGGCAGAACCTCAGCGAATAGTGCTGGGGAATGGATATGATGGAGACACAGCTCCTGTGCCTCTGTCAGGCACTTGTCCCATCACAGCAAACGGGACCTCTGCACATACAGAAGACACCCTGGGCACCTTCGAGGGTACTCTAGAACCACAGAAGGTGAGAGGTGTATTAGTCAGAGGTGCTGGTGGGCTATAGGTGCATCATACCTAGGAAAATTCTGTTATGAGTTTCAGCTGCATGTGTGACAACACAGGACACACCATGCTAGGTAACACCATTGATTTTTGATGACTTGCACTGAAGTGACATTATCCACCACACCCAAAGCCAAAGAGCAGCCTCTACCACTTCAACCAGGATCACCAAACACAGGACTTAACCTGCAAGTCAAATCACCAGCTTCATCTAGATTTCCTTAGAATCTTCTCATTTTAGGCCTGTGAGATATTTCAGTGTATTAATCCTCTGCTTTGGCAAGCTCAGGGACCAGGGTAGTATGTCAGGGGCCAAGGTTGCATCCCTGGTCACACATGATGCATTGGTCCTGCCCCTAGGGCACACTCAGCTTTAGACCAATCTGGGCAAAGTTGTGCACACCTGTAACCTAACCCTGTGGACACTGAAAACAGGAGGATGACTGCTAGTCCAAGTTGTGTATGGAAACTCTGTACCAAATTTATAAATTGAAAAAAGAAATCTCATTTTTAAATATCAGTTTCATTTTTAATAGATGAGTTCAGTGGAGGACATTTGGGATAATTAGTAAAATTTCAATTTTCCCACCATGTCTCAACTAATAATAAAAGATATTCACAGAATGCTATCAAAATACCAAACATTATTGTGAATTTCTTATATGTAAAATCTGAATTATACTTAATGTTTAAATAACTCCAGGAGAAGAAACGGAGTTATTTGTATTGTTATTTTGCAAACTGTCAAATTGAGGGCAGAGAAAGCAGTAATTTGCCTGATGCTATGCATTTTAATAAAAGCCGTAGGAAACCAAAGCATCAATATGTCTTTAAAATATATGTTCCGATGGCTCTGAGATTTTCTATTTCTAGCTGAAACAATACCCCAAACATCACACCATCACACACTTACATATAAAGTTCAACTGGTGATTTATAAGCATCTGAGACTTTCTAGATTATGTCTACAAACATATGTAGGAAGTTGGACATTGTAGAAAAGAGGACACTACCGAAGTTGAAGAAACTGCTATTCCAGATTCCCTGAGACGTGCCTTCATTGGGGAATATTCCACAGTTGTTTTTCGTTGTTGTTTCTTTTTGTGGCTGTGATGTTACTAGCCAGTGTACTTGTCACCCTTTGAGATTTCTTAAAAGTATTTTTCATCAAATCCTAGTCAGTGACAATGACAGTGAGCTGCAGTGGCTACCCAGTGAGTCACAAGGCCAAGACTCAGAAATTTCCATTTTACATGGTCTGTCTTGATTTTTGTTTTTCCTTACTAGGCTGTGAGCTCAGGACCTTGCATTCACCAGGCTGGCAACTATTCAGTGAAACTCTCTCCTCAGGCCTTCATGCTGTCTTCATAGAGTCAGAACTCAAGAATTATGTGGCCAGTGGCTACAAAGGGGTTTCAGGAAATGTGCCGTAAGTCCTTGCCCTTGTCACACAAGGGTTATCCACCCCTCTTGTCTGCTACAGCAGATGTTGATACTGCTTACAGAGCGAAGATCAGCACAGCAGAGCTAATACTCACCTTCGTGCTCATATTTACATGATAAGGATCAGAAACCAGTACTGATCTTGTGCCTGCAAAATGAATCCCTATGCTGATGTTCCTCACCTGGCTCATGGGATCTTCAGTAGCCTGAGTTCTATGCAATACTTCTTGCTTGGCATTCTTCACAAATGAATCTGTCACCCACTTTACTTCAGCAGATCATTAATAGACCTCACCTGTCTTCCATGTGTGGTTCTCAGAAGTCATGCATTTCCCACCCTGTTACATGGGCAGCTCATCTCAAGACATGGTCCATGGAGGATTTTGTTCTATGACTGCGTCTTAGAGAAGGAACACAGCATGATGAGGCCTATAAAGTATTCACTTGAGGGCCGGGAGTGAAAGTTCAGGTGAGGTCATGGTCACAAGTACAAAACACTTAATTTCAGTTCTTTGACATCATAGCTAATAGGAAGTGAAAGTATTGTACAAATTGACAGGAGCATTTTGAGAATTAAGAAAATGCATTCAGAACAAAACTTAAGTACTTTTGTACAAAAAAACAAAAACCAACAACCAAAAAGCCACTTAATACATGGTAGTTTTAATCATTAGTGACTAACTGGAAATTTTTAAGGTCTAGAATAAGAGCTGGCCAAATATCTTAGTGGATTAAAGCACATGTAAGCAGGCACAAGGGCCAAGGATTTGATCCCTGGGCCTACCATGCCACCCCTACCCCCAGGGCACGGAGAAATGACAATTGAGAGTGCCTGTGGTGGCATACGTCTGTAATCCCAGATCTTGGGAGGCTGTAAACAGGCAGAAAACTATGAGTCTGATCTAGTAGTGAGACTCTGAACATCTTGTAGACCCTTCCCTAAAATACAAAAAAAAAAAAAAAACGTTCTAGTATAAAATTGGAGTCAAGATCTTCCCAGATTTTAGAAGCAAGTGACCCATAAGTCAAGTCCCTTTGTTGAAATAGTTAAGAGAACTTCAGTACACTACTCATTGAAGTCATCCATTGTGTAACCCTGGAGCTAACTATAGTAACATGTTTGCTAGTAAGAAAGGCAAGAATTATAATATCACACAATCATTCTGCAATCTCTAGCCAGTTTCAAATTTCTAATTTAAGACAAGTCAGCTCAAAATGATGATGATCAAGGTAAAAAATGATGAAGTGCAGACAAACATACACAAAAGTTTCATTTTTGAAACAAGCCTCAGAACCAATGGTGACATCTAAAAATAATGAGAGTAAAAGCTTATCAGCTATTTAGGCTTATGATACAAGGAACTTCCAAATGACGCAGGGATAAATGATCTCACAACCTGACCTGGATGAGTTCGTGTTCTCTGAAACTGAGGAATGAATTTTAGGAGCAAAAAGAGGCTATGATCATGATATATTTATTGAGGGAAAGAAAGCTCCTAACCGAGAGCTGGACAGAAGGGGGACCTGAGCAGGTAGTCCGCCAGATGCTCTCTCTTCCAAGGACTTTTATAGTATAAATCCATGTGGGTCTAAGGTGGAGAAAATGGGAATTTTCTCAGGTGGACAAGAGGTGGGACAAAACTATGGCCAACCAATGAGATTACCAGCACCTTTGCTCTGGTAAAATTGATTCAGTGAAGGACCGAATGGGGAAAGGAGTCACATCATGAAGGGACATGATTGTAGAACAGCACTTTATCAGGTAGCCATTCAGTAGTAGTCAGATTAATGATTCTTGTGTCTCCCTCAGGGTGGTGATCAATCTCAGATGCCAATCTTTAGGAAGGTGAGCATTTGTTTGATCTTTGCCTTTAGATCTGCTCTAAACGGCACCCATCCCTCCCTCAGTTGTAAGGTACAATATCTTCTGTGTTATCTCCTTCTAGGGCCTTGCTCTGCCTGACTACCTATAATATTTCTAGCTAACTCAGCTGCCTGCAACACTTATATATTGGCAGATATGTATTTATTATACATATATCTGTATTTGTGTGTAGGTATGGGAATATGTTTTATATATGTTTATTTTCCTAGAAACAGATATATTTACGTGATAAATGTAAATGAAACTGGAAAAAGATAATAATATATAAAAAATGAGCTCTACGATTTCAGAAATAATTGGTCTTATTCCATGTAACTCAGTAGATATTGTTCATCTCTTTTACATTTCAGCACATTAAAAAGTGGAAGGTCATGTACTGTTGTAGGTTATGAGTTGGTACCCAAGGAAAGGAGAAGACCTACAGAATATGGCTTCAGAGGTCTCCCTGAGGTTAGTCTCTCTCTAGTGAGTCTGGAGCCAGGGAAACTTTGCACATTGGTTGAGGGCTACAAACAGCTAGGGAATATGCATAAGTAATTTGGTGTAAACAAACTACTATCAACATTGCTTTAAGGCATTCGCCAGCTAGTATACCTGTCATTGTTTATTATCTTCCCAGGTAAAGGAACAAAGAACAGACAGAGCTCTGCCTCCAGGGATCTGCTACTACCTTGTCTATGCTTGCTGGAGTAACAAGGAACCAGTTTCCTTAGGCTCTGTTCTTTGTTCCTTGCTCCCTCTGGACAGTAAACTTCTGTCTGACTCATATCACTGTAATATAAAATATTTTTCTTTTCTTTTTTACCTCCTGGAAGTATACTGTCTAAGACCACCTGGAAGAGAAACAACTGCTTCATTCCAAATCATGCCAAGTCCCAAGCAATAGTTCACAGAACATAAGGACCCCAGGAGATAAAGTCTCGCATAGGGAATCAGGATGACGTACACTACAGGCTTCCCACTTTTTGTCACCTGAGCCCTTCCCCCTGGTTCAAAAGGGCTGCTGCTCATTAGAGTAAGGTACAAAATGATTCTTTCTCAGGCCACTTGTGGCCTTTATCCCTCAGTGCTGTGACACACAGCACATTACTGGAGCTTGTGCGATCCTCTGACAACTGTGTAGACATGTACCTCATTGCATCAAAGGGAATGTTT